CCTTGCTTTTTCACTCTTCCTCTCTGTCTTTCTCTGGCAAAATTCATGTGAAAATAATAATAATAAATAAATAAAATAATTCTTTTTTTAAATAAAAGATTGTAGTGGCTAATTGCATTACTAATTATCTTAGATGTCTATACATATTATTGGGGGGAAAGCAGAGTATGATATTACTAAATAAGGTAGGAAAAACAGAATTTACACTAATAGCTACTGTTTATTGAACACTTACTATGTACGAACTTCACCTGGGTAACAATGACCCTACCAGGTAGGTCTTTAGTATCACATCTACAAATGAGGAAAGTGAGGCCCACAGAGGATAAATGATGTTCCTAAAATCACTCCGATACAAAGTGACGGAGCTGGGATTTGAACCCGAGCAGTCTGAACTCAGGCTCTTCATCACCACTGACTACAAACTGTCTGCCACTTATCTACATCCACAATATGCTTAGCATAAATAATAGAACTCTCGCCAACCTAGATATTATTGTCTCTACTTTACAAAAGAAAATGCTCCAGGAGGCGGGGCAACATCCCGGAAGGCAGATACATGACCAGAATATCACCTTGTAGCTTAGCATCAGCTATGAAGTACGGCTGCAAAAGAAGGAAAGTGGAGGCCAGCAGGGGACATAGGGGTTAAGGTGCTGGACTCCCATGTTGTCAACTGCAGTTCGAGTCCTGGACCCGAAGGCTTGGGACTCACGCTGGGCACATGGGCATGCATGCCCAAAACTCCTGAGAGGAGAATGGAGGAGGAGAGATGGGGTGTGGCAATCCCTTCTGGGGGGTGATTTCTCGCTTTCTGTCGGTCTCTCTCTGCCTCTCTGGTGAGCACACGCACCCTATAGCAAAAATCTCTCCGGAGACATGACTGAATGAATGAATGAATGAATGGGAGGGGAGGGGACACTAAATCATGGGTCCAGCTGGTGGTAAAGTTGGTAGCCAGGCGAACTGCAGAGTCGTGGCCACATGTCCCACTACGGGGTCTGGAGCCCCTGGTCTCAACATGCCAGGGCCCAAGATCCTGAGGCATCGGAGGGCTGGCGAATGGGAAATGCGGCGTGACAAGGCCCTGCCAAGGGTGCCTCTTTCTGTCAAATAAATTTTAAAAAAAGAAAAAGAGCTATAACCCAGCCCTGTGGCCTGACAGTTTAGGCCAGGATCCAGCCACAGTGGCTTGAAAAACATGCCAGGTGCACGTACACACATGCCAATCCCCACAGGATGGAGAGCCATAGGAAAAGGGATTGCAGCATGACTGTGCTCCACTGGGGATGCTTTCCTCCTGGTTTTTTTTTTTTTTTTTTTTTT